ACACATAAATAAAATCAATGACCCCGGGGCGGGGCCAATTTTGACCCAAGGGCTTTAATTTGAACAAACTTTGTAGACACCCATTAGAACATGTTTCATGCTAAATATCTTAGCTCTAGCTCTTTGGGTTCTTTAAAAGAAGATCTTATAAGTTTTTACTATATGCATATAGGGAAAATCAATGACCCCCTGGGGCAGGGCCAATTTTGACCCCAGGGCTTTTATTTGAACAAACTTGATAGACACTCATTAGAAGATGTTTCATGCTAAATATCTCAGCGCTAGCTCTTTGGGTTCTTTAAAAGAAGATTTTATAAGTTTTTACTATATGCATATAGGGAAAATCAATGACCCCCTGGGGCAGGGCCAATTTTGACCCCAGGGCTTTTATTTGAACAAACTTGGTAGACACCCATTAGAAGATGTTTCATGCTAAATATCTCAGCGCTAGCTCTTTGGGTTCTTTAAAAGAAGATCTTATAAGTTTTTACTATATGCATATAGGGAAAATCAATGACCCCCTGGGGCAGGGCCAATTTTGACCCCAGGGCTTTTATTTGAACAAACTTGATAGACACCCATTAGAAGATGTTTCATGCTAAATATCTTAGCTCTAGATCTTTGGGTTCTTTAAAAGAAGATTTTTTAAGTTTTTACTATATGCATATAGGGAAAATCAATGACCCCCGGGGCGGGGCCAATTTTGACCCCAGGGCTTTTATTTGAACAAACTAGATAGACACTAACTAGAAGATGTTTCATGCCAAATATCTTAGCTCTACTTCTTTGGGTTTTTTAAAAGATGATATTTTAAGTTTTTTCTATCGGTTGCCATGGCAACCAGAGTTCTGCATGGAATTAAATTATTTGAACAATTTTTAAAGGTGACCACCAAAGGAACATTCCTGTGAAGTTTGGATGAAATTGGCTCAGCGGTTTATGAGATGTCATTTAAAGTAAAAGTTTAAGGACGCCGGACGAAAAGCGATTACAAAAGCTCACCCTGTCACTTTGCGACAGGTGAGCTAATAAATCCATATAAAACACAATGGGATTTAAGAAATTTGTCCTTGAAGGCCACTCCTTATGAGTAAAGGTAACATTTTAAGATAACAAAATGACTTTCTTATAAAGAAGTATGTAGGCTGTAGCTGACAGAATGAGGATGTTATAGCAAATTTTGAACATTTTATGCAGGTTACATACACAGAGCATAAATGGCCGGCGCACAAAGTTTGTTCTTTATTAGAAATGTTACTGATTCTTTTTGGAATTGAAAACTATGCTTAAAGAAATAACTTTTTTTCAACAACTTGTCATGTTATGTTGCAGTTTTCTTTCATTTTGTTTATTTTTCTCACTGGGTTAGGAAAATTTGGCTAAATCAATTGTACACAGGGTTCCCACTCTTAGATATTTTGAAAATTTAAGGACTTTTCCAGGACTTATCAAGGACCTTTTTTGATTTTTTAAGGACTTTTTAGAAATTTAAAGTTCACGCTATTCAATTTTTTGTCCTATGAATATTTTCATGGTAATGTTTAAAACAACATTTAATAACACCAATATAATACATGTAGTACATGACATAAATCTAACTCTATCTAAGAAATACATTAAGTGTCTATAAATAATGAAATGTACTTTGTGACAGCAACTGTTGCAGGGTGTCTGCAATTTTCATGTAATTTTGGTGTTTTTAATGCTTCCACATACATGTGAACTTTTTTAGATGATCAAGTGGGAGATTTTTCTTCAAAAAGAGGGAGATTGAAGGAAGTTTTGACATCAAAAATAGGGAGATTTCTTAAATTTGTGAAAATACCCCTTATTTTAAGAAAAATCTTTGAAAATATGGCTGCAAAAAGTGGGAGTCTCCCGCTAAAAGTGGGAGAGTTCACATGTATGCTTCCAAGGGATCACTTTTTTTACAAGATATTCATAGTACTTTAATAAGTAACCTCACATTTGACCTCAGTCCACTTAGGTGCATTGAACGGCAAAAGCATGTCACACTGAAGGGTATATTAAAACTGCCTGCAGGTGTTTCTACATTAAAAATTTCACAACTTTCATGTTTAAATGTTGTACTCTGCTTAAGCCTGTGCTACGGGTTCTACAAAATATGGCGGCAGCACAAAATACCCAAACACACACAATTATAGCAATATTCATTTTGGTTTGTATACAATATAGATTTTAATGAGATAATGAATTGATATTTACAAAATAATGTGACTTAGCCAACTATTACTTTCATTCATTCCATTGAAATTTTCAGTTCAGATGTTGTAAGAAAAAAAAGTGACATTTGCTTTTCTAACTGTTAGGTTCATTAATGAATAGACAAATGTACTTGCAAGATATGAGATTTGTTGTCTACATTTAAATTTGTAGGGTATAATTTTGTTGTAATTTCATATGTAAGTTCATTCGTATTATTTTTTTTATTTAATAGTTTTCATGCAGTATACTGTATTTGGGTATATTTTGGTTCAAAAATGTATATTTGGGTATGTTTGATTACATCTTAATGAAAGTGCATATTGTATTCATGATTAAAACAGCACTTTTTTTAGTGTAACACATTCATTTTTAGTATATTTTGGCTAATATTTGGGTATTTCTTGCTACCCAAATATGGTGTGGCCAACTGGCTGTGCTCTGCCTTGACAAAAGTTCATGTATGTAATACTTTTGTTTATTTTATATTGGTTTACCTTTGGCTTTTAGCATGGTTGTGAGCAATAAGGTTAAACAAATTGCCCAAGGAAGCAACCAGACCTGTGAACTTTCATGTTTCTTAGCACGGGCCAATCAAGCAAACTTGTGGTCGATTTGTGACTGTCTAAATTCTTATAACATTTTCCAAACAAAACCGCCATAGTAACCAGAAAATAAATGTTAAATCTCATAAATGTCAAACTTGGCCTCCCAAAACACATGTAAATCGAAAAATAATCAACATTCAAGATGCGGAAGTCAATATACTGTGCTAAGACCGCCATTTTGGTTGTTTGATTTACCTCCCCTTTTCCGGACTTATTCCCGTACCTTCCCGGACTTTTTTATGTATCAACACTTATTCCCGGACTTTTCAAGGCCGGGAGCTCCTGTTTTCAAATTCACGGACATTTCCCGTTTTCCCGGACAGCGTGGGAACCCTGTGTACAGGATAAATATCATATAATAGTATGCTCTAAATTATCAACTTTAACACATAAATAAACATAAACTAGAACTATCACTAAATGTGATTAATACCCCCACAAGACTGCTTCGGAAATGAGGATGTTACTAGTAACAGAATACCTTGTAAAAGAATTGAAATATAGAGTTATGGTTGTGGGCAATTAAAGATAGTTGTGGTTCTTGTATGTTGCATTTCCTTACAATGTGGTTGGCCATTGATGAAGTTTTATTGAATTACTCTGTAATAAGTACAGAAAGATAAGGAAAAGGAACAAAAGGGCAATAACTCTATAAATACTGAAGATGGAGTTATAGTTCTTGTGCACTGCACTTCGTCTTATTGTGCTTGACCATTGTATGAAGTTGTTTTGAATTCCAACCAGTACGTTTTAAGTTATGCTCCGGACAAGGAAAAGTATCAAAGGGCAGTAACTCTGTATTTTGTCAAAATGGAGTTATGGCTCTTGTGCACTGCACTTCCATTTATTGTCCTTGACAACTGTATGAAGTTGTTTTGAATTCCAAACAGTAGTTTTCAAGTTATGCTCTGGACAAGGAAAAGTAACAAAGGGCAATAACTCTGTAATTAGTCAAGATGGAGTTATGGTTCTTGTGCACTGCACTTCCTCTCAATGTACTTGACCATTGTATGAAGTTATATTGAATTCCAACCAATAGTCTTCAAGTTATGCTCCGGACAAAAAAAGCAATGGAAAAGAAACAAAGGGCAATAACTCTGTAATTAGTCAAGATGTAGTTATGGTTCTTGTGCACTGCACTTCCCCTTATTGTGCTTGACTATTGTATGAAGTTGTTTTTAATTCCAACCAGTAGTTTTCATGTCATGCTCTGGACAAGGAAAAGTAAATAAGGACAGTAACTCTGTAATAAGTCAAGATGGAGTTATGGATCTTGAGCACTGCACTTCCTCTCAATGTGCTTGACCATTGTATGAAGTTATAATGAATTCTTCAAGTTATGGTCCTGACAAAAGAAAGCAATGGAAAAGTAACAAAGGGCAACAACTCTGTAATTACTTTAGATAGAGTTATGGTTCTTGTGCACTGCACTTCCCCTTATTGTGTTTGACAATTGTATGAAGTTGTTTTTAATTCCAACCAGTAGTTTTCAAGTCATGCCCCGGACAAAGAAAAGTAACAAAGGGCAATAACTCTGTAATTAGTCAAGATAGAGTTATGGTTTTTGTGCTCAATGTGATTGACCATTGTATGAAGTTATAATGAATTCCAACAATTAGTCTTTAAGTTATGGTCCGGACAAAAGAAAGCAATGGAAAAGTAACAAAGGGCAATAACTCTGTAATTACTTTAGATAGAGTTATGGTTCTTGTGCACTGCACTTCCCCTTATTGTGTTTGACAATTGTATGAAGTTGTTTTTAATTCCAACCAGTAGTTTTGAAGTTATGCCCCGGACAAGGAAAAGTAACAAAGGGTAATTACTCTGTAATTAGTCACGATAGAGTTATGGTTCTTGTGCACTGCACTTCCTCTCAATGTGCTTGACCATTGTATGTAGTTATATTGAATTCCAACCATTAGTCTTCAAGTTATGCTCCGGACAAGGAAAATGCAACGGATGTCTAGACTCACCGACTGACCACCGGGTGACTCCTATATACCCCCCCCCAAACTTCGTTTTTGGGGGTATAAAGATCACTAAAAGATCATTTTCAAACAAAACTGAAGATGTTTTATACAATACATGGCAAAATGAAGTCTGATGCAGATGTAAATGACTGTAAATACATGAAGATAGTAAGTTCAAAATGTAGACAAAATCATCACCCTATTTCCCTATAAAGTGAATATTTCATAACTCAAAGACATTCTAAAATGCTTTAACTGCCTGAGGTCATGGATCGCTTATTCCTTTATGAATAAATAAGATACCACATTCACCCCTTCAAACTGTTTGTAGAATTGTGTTTCATTTCTTTCCCTTCTTTTTCCCTTTATCACTGACTGTTTTACCCTTCTTAGGCTGAGCATATTTAGCTTCTAACTGGTCAAAGAAACTGTTCATATGCTGGCCTCTACTCTGCTGTTTCGCTTGTATCAATGCCTTCAAGGAATCATCACAATTTAATCCCAGTTCTTCCTTCATTTCTTCAGCCTCGGCTGCCTCCTGTGCTGCCTAGAAACATATTATAAATATCATCAGACAGCTTGCTTATGTTAAAGCTCAAAATAGTGAAAAGAAAGTAGAAAAAATCAAGCAAACTTAACTATTTGACAAAAAGGCTTGTTATAATTATGTTATTTTATTCTTGCACTCTGTACTAATTCATAGGGTCTGTATATATGTACTAATCATTGTCATGTATCTTTGAATGCAACCTCTTCAAAAATTACACAATAAATTCTTATGGTCATGTAGAATAAATTGAGATGTATTAGTTTAGTTTATGTGAATTTATTTTAGTTTGATTGTGTTGGAAGCTTTAAGCTTATTGAAACACTCTGGAATCTGTTCCTGTACTGAGCTAAAAATGTAAAGTTTCTTGCACAAGGAAACAACGGCTTGCCTCTGACAGAGTAGGAACCCATGCGGACAGCAATCCTTAGATTACTAGTCTAATGCATTCACCACTCAGCTAAGCAGCCACACAATAGATGTATTATTGACAACTTTTTAATGCATATAAAATTTACCTTTCTTTTCCTAGTTTCTTTGCTTCTTTTTGTCTCTTTCATGAATTTTTCAAATGCTGGTACTTCCTTTGATTTGATCCAATCTTTGATAATTTTGCTAAATCTGGGTTCATCTTCTATGCTAGAGCACATCACATTATTTAGAATTTCTTCCATATCTCCTTTAAACTCAACATAAGCTGTCTTTAAATCATCTAATTCCTCCTGAGATTCTAAGCAAAACAAAAGAAAGTTGATATTTATTTTATAAAACTAAATAAGTTACAAGATACTATCATTTCTGCTTTCATTGCTGCCAATGTAATGTAACCATAACCTTTTTCTCTTGTCATAGAACAGACATATAGCTTAAACAATACTCACTGATAAAATTGCTTGAAACTCTTTCACTTAAATTGTTAGAAACCACTGACGTTCCATAAGCTATCTGTACACATCTCATATGAAGATATTCAATACCCCTTTTCAGCATATTACAGGTATACAGTATCACAAGTGTAAAACTACTTATATTTTGTAAGCTTCCAGAACAGTTTCCTGAAATTCTTATGTTCAAAACTCAATGCCTCAGTTATTATGTGTATCAGTGAACTATCATTCTTCTGAGATGGCCTCTTCTCACAGCATCATTACACTTATCAAATGGTATTCACTTTATTGGGGGTAAATCTATCCAAATAATTAGATGAAAATTGACCTTTTACACAACATAAAGCTAACTGTAGAACTTGGCAGCTTTCATATGCTGTAATAACAGCTTTTTTATATGGATTTTTTTTGTTGGTTCAAACCAGAGTGAAAGGCAAGCATTCACATAGGACCTATTACTCACAGAAGCCACTCCCTTACTTTAACTAAATATTCACTGTGCTGGAAACCTGGTTTTGAATTGATGTATCCAGATTCTCACTAGATAACTACAAGGAGACCAGAAACCAAAGTTAAAACAAATTTTTTTTACCCCTCAAACGGGGGACCCTGTTTTATTTGTTTGGTCAAAAACCAAACAAAACAAACTCAAAAAAAACGTTTGTTTGTCAACCCTTCCCAATAGTAAAAAAATTTCTTCAAAAATGATAAAGGGTTTTCATTTTATTTTTTAAACAAAAATCAAATTTATTTTATACATGTAAAACTTCCTTTGAAATTTTTTTTCGAAAATTTTTTATACCCCCATCAGTTTTAATTTTTCTGAACAACTTTTCTCCCAAAAAGCTGCCCCAGCCCCTATCCTGGGGAATGGCATCATCTTCATTATCTATCTCACCTAAATAATAACACATTATTTAATATTTCAAATGCCATTTAAACTATTAAGTATAAATACTATTCATTAACAAGAGATCTGCCGAGGCAAGGCAATATACAAAATTTACAAAAGTTTATCATAGATGAAAATACAGTCAAACTTCTTTCGCTCGAACTCGGAGGGCCTGTGCAAATTTGTTCAAGAGATCGATAGTTGAACTATTATCATGCACATAGGACATAGACCTAAAGGTTTTCCATCTTACATCGGTCTAATGATAAATACGTCAACATAATTGTTTGTTAGTACATCAGTTCGTCAAATACGTCATTTCTTGTAAATATTAACAAAATTTACAAATGAGCATTAACCACCAATACACTGTGTAAATCTATATTCATGCATATTGTAATTGGTTGAGTTTGATTGGGCAAACATTTTCAAGAATATAGTTATATATTTATTATGGGACAAATTTTATTTTAAATAATTACTTAATAAAATATTTTCAAACAATCATTTTAAGGCAGCGTCTGTAGTCATTTACTAAAATAAACAACCGTACAAGTGTCATTCTATGAATAGATAACACTGTTACAATACATGTTACATATACAGGGGGGCTGTAATTTAAGCCCTCCGGGGTTTACAAGGGTTAAATTTATTAAACCTTTGTCAAATTTCCCACTTATTTAAAAGTAATTTTTCTTTTATTGTTTACTAAAAGGCAGGAATTTTTAATAAACAATTTATTATAACAAAAAATCGGTTTTAAGATAACTTTCAAATTTTTCTTATAATTTAAAAACCCTTTAATTTCTTTATCACGTCATAGGTCAATTGTTTTTGTTTCAAAAAATGAAGCTTGTTTTTTGAGGCATTTTCATATTGTACAAAGTATAAACTACTGACATTCCATTTATGCTGTTTAAGTATGTTTATATGGTTTATTTCTTTCACACATTTTGGTCACAATTCGGCAGTTGGTCCATCCTATACTACCAATTTTTTTTGACAACTTACCCTTAATTATCAATTTCCTGGTAACTGACAACAAATATGACTTGATTTCACATGATTGGCACATGTCAGGCAACAGCCATTTGTTGACCCAGACTAACACTATTTCAAGGTGTATTTGTGAAAAGCAGAGTATAAACAAGATTGCATTTGAGAAAAATGCTATGCCACCGCATTAATACAACACTAAATAGTAGTGTAGGAACAGATTTTTTTTTGTTTCTATACAATTGAAGATTGTCATAATGCATAGATCCCTGACCTATCTAATTCTTATTATCAGATTTAGTGGTTTAAAAATCTATTCGTTAAAAACCAATAAAAGATCAGAAGTAGGAATATTCAATGGCACTTGAAGTCTGGGTGAATTTTGGTGGTGAAGGTCATATTTCACACAGCCTTTAAATTCAATCGACCTACAATCTAAGACAAACAGTAAGACACTTTGTCAAAAATCTAGGTCAGCTGATATCCCAAAGTTCACTTTACAACTAAACAGGGGGTGTGCACATTGGGTCAAAAAATTGAAAAGAATGTAGGGTCCACTTTCCCCTTGGCAAGGGCAAAATTTTGACCCAAGGGTTTAATTCAAAACAATCTTGATACAGGTCCCCCCAAACAACTTTCAGTAAAATATCCTAAGCTGTGTTTCTTCCACATTAGAAAAGAGCCATTTGTTTTTTTTCTGTTTTTACAATGTTGTTACATAATTTGAGAATCCTGCCCCTGGCAGGGCCAATTTTTTGCCCAAGGGAAAAAATTTGAACCTTTGGGTTTAGAGGACCTATAGATAATATTGCTATAGAAAATTCAAAGCTTATGGTTTACCTAAAGAAAAAATATAATATATTTTTTTACTATTATGGTACTGAAGAAAAGTCCAATTTGACCCCTGGGGGTGGAACCAATTTTGACCCCCAGGGTATTAATTTGAACATCTTGGAAGAGGTTCAAAAGCCTCATTAAAGATCCTATGCCATTATATTTAACCTCTAAACCGTTTAGTCAATTCAGAGAAAGAAGTTTTCAAGTTTTTACTTTTATACATATAAAGGAAAACTATCGCCTCTGGGGGCAGGGCAAATTTTAACACTAGGGGCATAATTAAAACAACTTTAGTAGAGGACCCATAGATGATATTATATACCAAATATCAAAGCTCTAAGCCTTGTACCTCCCAGACAAGAAGTTTTTTACTATATTGTACATAGTGAAAATCAATGACCCCTGTGCCAATTTTGACCCAGGGCTATAATTTGAAACAATCTTGCTGGAGGTTCACTTCACAATGTTTCATGCAAAAAATCTTAACTCTAGCCTTTTGTAAATTTAGAGAAGATGATTTTTTTAAAATTTTTTACTATATACATATAAGGAAAACCTATGGCCCCCGGGGCAGGGCTAATTTTGACACTAGAGGCAAAAATTTGAACAACTTAGGTAGAGTACCTATAGAGGATATCATTTAACAATATTAAAGCTCTAAGCCTTGTACCCTTCAGACAATAAGATTTTTTACTATATGTATACATTGAAAATCAATGACCCCCGGGGCGGGGGCAATTTTGACCCCAGGGCTATAATTTGAACAATCTTGCTGGAGGTTCACTTCACAATGTTTCATGCAAAATATCTAACCTCTAGCATTTTGTCAATTGCTAGAAAAAGTTTTTTAAAAGTTTTTACTATATACATATAAGAAAAACCAATGGCCCCCGGGGCGGGGCCAATTTGTTGACCCTAGGGCTATAATTTGAAACAATCTGGGTAGAGGTCTACTAGACAATGCCTTATGCAAAATATCTAAGCTCTAGGCCTTTTGGGTCTTTACAAGAAGGTATTTTAAGTTTTACTATATGTACATATAGTGAAAATTCAATGACCCCGGGGCAGGGGCCGATTTTGACCCCAGGGCTACCATTAAAACAATCTTGGTAAGGGTCTACCAGACAATGCCTTATGCAAAATATCTAAGCTCTAGGCCTTTTGAGTCTTTACATGAAGGTATTTTAAGTTTTTACTATATGTACATATAGTGAAAATCAATGACCCCCGGGGCGGGGCCGATTTTGACCCTAGGGCTATAATTTGGACAATCTTGGTAGAGGTCTACCAGACAATGCTTTATGCAAAATATCTAAGCTCTAGGCCTTTTGGATCTTTACAAGAATATTTTTAAAATTTATTCTTATAATTCCTTTTGGTTGCCATGGCAACCAGATTTCTGCATGGACTGAAATTCTTTGAACAACTTTGGAAGCCCTTCACCCAAGGATCAATCCTGCCAAGTTTGGTTGAAATTGGACTAGTGGTTTTTCACAAGAAGATTTTTGAAGTTCACTATATAATCTATATAACACACAAACAAACAAATACACACACACACAGGTGAATCGCTATATGCCACCGCATCGCAGATGCTGCGGTGGCATAAAAATTACTGTCTCGTACCTGTTTTCATCATAGACAGCTCTTTTCTCCTTATTTGAGAGGATACAGTAAACTTTTCCTATTGTTTGAAACTTCACAGTGGCAGCATCTTTTTCTTCTGGTGCAACACGGTCTGGATGAACCTTCAGTGATACCTTGTGATAAACCCTTCTTTACTGAAATTACAGACATCTTAAAATTGAAAATGTAGGCAAGTCTTTACTATGGGATTTTAAATAAAACATAAGCAAACTTTTCCTTTTATCAATGTCTAAGATAAAAACACAAGAAAGCTAAAATGGGTATTTTTGATATGTTGAGCAAAGATTTTTCTTGAACATTTGATGTTTTTTGTGTTATTTTTCCTTAAAGTTGTGCAGAAGCCTGAAAAAAAGACACAATTTTTGATTGTCAATTTCACATTCCGAATTTTAAAAGCGTTGTTTATAAGCAGCAATCAAAGATTTTTTTCATTATCATTCAAGTGCATTTTCTTTCAGTTGTTCTCATTTTTAAAAGATTTTTTATTATATAAAGTTCAACTTAAACTATTTTATTACTTGGATGTAACTTCCAAATAATGGATTTTCCTTTCTTGTTTTCACTTTGATTTGTTTTGGTTTTTGTCCTTGTATTTTTTTTTTATATATTATTGTTTTAAAGATGACGACTTCTCTGGAGAATCAAGTATAAAAACAGTTTTTCAAATCATATCGATATATCATGTTGTGAAATTATATTGCAAAAACTGGCAGTGATTTTCCTACATATAATGATATATAAACAGACTCAGAAAAAAGGCCTCTTCCCTATTGGAATTTTCTTTAAAATCATGCAGTTTTCCCAAAAATCTGAACTTAAACCAGTTTTTTTTCCTTCCCAAATCAGCAATTTTAGCAATGATTTTTATCAAAATCAAGAGGCCAAGGCCTCTTCCCAATTAAGTGAGAAAAATCACTGACTGGTATACCGCCGTAAATTGCCCACCCCTATATTAATTAGGTTAGGCCTAAAAAAAAAAATGTTGTGTTTCCGGTGGCCCGACCGACCCTATTTTTTAGCGCCGACCCAAAGTTTTTTATCGATGTACAAAAAAACAAGGGTGCCATAGTCACAAAATACGCCCGTTTACGAAAGCTTTAGATGGAGATGGGGGCATTATGGATAAGTGTTATCTAGCAAGCAAGTTTTTATTCTTGGCACTGTGTTGTTAAATGAACCTTAAAACAAATCAGTAGGGAAGATATGCACAGGATGTGTGACCTTGACCTTGGTCGCAGGGACCTGAAGTTTATGCACGGCACTCAGCCTCACAATGACGAACATTTGTGCCAAATTATATTGAAATCCCTCTATGCATGTAGAAGTTTTGCTCCAGACAAGCGTTTTGCTATGAGCTCTAACTGTGACCTTCACCTTTGACCTAGAGACTAATGGTTCATGTGCAGGGCACTACGTCACATGGTGGTGAACAATTCTATAAAGTAACATTAAAATTCCTCATGCATGTAGAAAATATGCTCCGGACAACATCTGGATATTTAATCATCTCCAGTGACCTTGACCTTGCAAATATTAACCTAAATTAAATGTGTCACACCTGTAGTCATGATAGTTACCATTTGTGCTACAATCCATCAATAAATGATGACTAAATGGTCCCTATACACATCTTCAAATTTTTTATCTGAACTTTTGACCTCTATGTGTAACATTGACTTTGGTCGCAGGGATCTGAATTTTGCGTGCTACACTCAGCCTCACAATGGTGAACATTTGTGCCAAGTTATATTGAAATCCCCCTATGAATGTAGAAGTTTTGCTCCGGACAAGCGTTTTTCAATGAGCTCTAAGTGTGACCTTGACCTTTGACCTGGAGACCTGGATCATGCATGGAGCAATACATATCATGGTGGTGAACATTTCCATAAAGTATTATAAAAATTCTTCCATACATGTAGGAGATATGCTCCAGACAAAATCTGGATATTTCACCATCTTTAGTGACCTTGACCTTGCATATATTGACCTAAAGTACATGTGTCACAGCCGTAGTCATGATAATGACCATTTGTGTTACAATCCCTCAATAAATGATGATTAAATTGTCCCTATACACATCTTCATATTTTTATCTAAACTTTGACCTCTATGTGTGACCTTGACCTTGGCTGCAGGGACCTGAATTTTGTGCGCAACACTCTGCCTCACAATGGTGAACATTTGTGCCAAGTTATATTGAAATCCCTCTATGCATGTGGAAGTTTTGCTCCGGACAAGCGTTTTTCAATGAGCTCTAAGTGTGACCTTGACCTTTGACCTAGAGACCTAGTTCATGTGCGTGACATGGCTTCTCATAATGGTGAACATTTCTATGAAATTTCATTAAAATCCCTCCATGCGTGTAGGAGATATGCTCCGGACAAAATCTGGATATTTCATCATCTTTAGTGACCTTGACCTTGTATATTTTGACCTAAATTATATGTATCACAGCCATAGTCTTGATAATGACCATTTGTGTTACAATCCCTCAATAAATGATGACTAAATGGTCCATATACACATCTTCATATTTTTATCTGAACTTTGACCTCTATGTGTGACCTTGACCTTGGCCGCAAGGACCTGAATCTTGCGCGCGACACTCCGCCTCACAATGGTGAACATTTGTGCCAAGTAATATTGAAATCCCTCTATACATGTGGAAGTTTTGCTCCGGACAAGCATTTTTCAATGAGCTCCAAGTGACTTTGACCTTTTACCTAGAGACCTGGTTCATGTACGCGACACTGCTCCTCATAGTGGTGAACATTTCTATGAAGTTTCATGAAAATCCCTCCATACATGTAGGAGATATGCTCCGGACAAAATTGGACGCCGCCCGCCCCCCCGCCAGGGGCGTTCCCATAATACGTCCCGTTTTTCAAACAGGCGTATAAAAAATGGCGCCCGTACCGAAGACGGGTTTTAGTATTGCGAGTCGACAACGATGTGAGGCACAGACGATTCGTGTTCCAATTACGTATTAACGCGCACCGGCTAATATGGCGGCACAACAAGCAGCCGAAGTGTCACTGCTGGCGATTTTCTTTAAAAATACGATCATAGTTTGGTAAAACAGGTAATCAAATTAAAAGACCACAGCAAAACAGCTCAAAACATTTTTCGGACGTGCATGGTCATGTTAAGAGTGATAATATTAAAATTGAAGCCAGTTGTTCGGTAAGAATGAAAACAAGAGCTGTCACAGGAGACAGCGAAGCTCAACTAATGAAATACTGGACGCAGTAAGGAGGACAAAACTATGAAAGAAAAATCAATTTTATGTATAATTATGTATTAAGTTATAGTAAAAAAATAATATTTGTTAACATAAATTCCAAGATCAAGGGGAATAATTCTAGAAATAGTCATGCTAGAGTTATGGACCTTGTCACACAACATTTGTGTAATGATAAGAAATATATATTTGAAGTTTGAAGTAGATACCTTAAAAAGAAAAGAAGTTATTATATTTCTTAAAGAAAATCCTAAGTTCAAAGAGAGATAAATCTGTAAATATTGCATCAAGAGTTATGAACAATGTCACATAAAATGTTATTGTTGATAAGGAATAAGTATTTGAAATTTGAGGTAGATACCTTTAAAAATAAAAAAGTTATAATAAAAAATAACATTTTTCTAGTAAAAATATCTAAGTTTATGGGGAGATATTCTTGCAATATTGGTGCTAGAGTTATGAACCTTGTCACATAAGATGTGGATGATGATAACGTAAACATATTTGAAGTATGAAGTTGATCCCTTTAGAAATAAATAAATAACAGTAAAAAAATATTTTTTATGGAAAATTCTAAGTTCAAAGGGAGATAAATCTGAAAATATTGGTGCTAGAGTTATGAACCTTGTCACATAAGATGGGGATGATGATAACGTAAATACATTTGAAGTATGAGGTTGATCCCTTAAGAAATAAAGAAGAAACAGTAAGAAATAGTACTTTTTGAGGAAAATTCTAAGTTCAAGGGGAGATAAATCTGAAAATATTGGTGCTAGAGTTATGAACCTTGTCACATAAGATGGGGATGATGATAAGGTACATATATTTGAAGTATGAGGTTGATCCCTTAAGAAATAAAGAAGTAACAGTAAAAAATAGTATTTTTTAAGGAAAATTCTAAGTTCAAGGGGAGATAAATCTGAAAATATTGGTGCTAGAGTTATGAACCTTGTCACATATGATGTGGTTGATGATAAGGAACATATATTTGAAGTTTGAAGTTGATACCTTAAGAAATGACAAAGTTATAGTGAAAAATATTTTACTGCACCAAAACTTTAATCTAAAATCTGGACGCGGACGCCGACGCCGGGGCGAGTAGGACAGCTCTCCATATACTTCGTATAGTCGAGCTAAAAATGAAAACGAAAGTCGAGTCATGCCATTGGTAAAATTTATTTCAAAATATAAGATTGAAGACTAGGTTTGGTAGTCTAACATTTTTTTAAGTACTTTTATATGCTATAGAATATAATTTAAAGTCCATATAATCCGTATCTGACATATCTACAATCGATTGATTGACTAAAAAAAAAAAAAAAAAAAAAAAAAAAAGTCCGACCTACCGACCCTACTTTTTTTCGCCTCGCCACCAGAAACACATCAATTTTTTTTTAGGCCTTAGGAGAGTCCCTAGTCCAAATATTAAGACATAAACAACGGATTTAAAGCTATTTTTTACATTGGTCATATTCGCTTTAACGTCTAAAGATATCTATTTAAAAGTCCATAGCAAAATGAAGAACATGCACAATCATTCAAACTCCCTATGTAAAATGTTACAAATAATGCTTGGTATTCATAATCCTACCAAAAATGTGTATTTTCCTTCTCAAAAACAACTTATTCAAATTTTAAACAATTTTAAAGAAATCCATGTTAAAATCATGAAAACAGCCTCCATATTGGTGTGTACTACGCATAGCAGTGATTACTGGAACCAAATTTTTTAGACGAAATTTTTAGTGTGTGCACCTGTCAGCGTCTTAAATCACAACAGAATTTTTTTTCGTTCAGACTAATTTCGTACTATTGTTTTTGAGTGACGTCACAGCATGACCGGGAATTTCCAATATAATGGTTAACACAAAATGTCTTTCATGTGTCTTCTTA